ACTTACTTAGGCGTCGGATCAGATGTAGGTAGGGCAGAATTAAAAAAAAATCACAAAATCAAAGTAAAATAATAAAATAAAAGGGCATTAATAACAAAAGTAATAAAAAATAAAATTAAAATAAGTTTATAGCCAAAATAATTAAAGCCGGTACACTACATCAGATTTTAATCAGATTGTGACCTCATGGGACATCTGAGATGTCATAACTGAAGTGCAAACCAAATGATTGAAGAAGTTTCAATGTGTGGAAATATCAAGGGGTATCTGAGGTGTCTTGACAGAAGAAGCGTGTGTGTAACCTCTGGGATATCTAGAGTGAAATAATACAATATCATAAGGTGTGCAAATCTTCATTACAATTGAGGTGCACACTCCATGGAGATAAGTCCACTGATAAATCTGCACGGCATGAGGATCTTGGGTAATAGTTGAGTTGTTTTAACAATTTCTACAGACACGGGGAATGGTATATATGATATATAAGGTATGACTTCATATAACATCTTATGAAATTTCAAAAAGTAGGTAATTTACAGCAAATTGGGTATCTTATACGTACAAACAATGAGTTTTGATATAGCTAGCTGTCATGCCAATTTCCGAGGCACTTCCACAATGTGTAAAACCCATGAGTTCATTTATTTGACAAGGCGAGCCACAGTACGGGCACTGGAGGAAATAAATAAAGTGCAGTTATATGCATTGTAGTCATGAGCACGTGTATTTTAATATTGCTATATTACATGCTGAGAACCAAGGTGGAATATGAGTTATCATAAACTAAAAATGCTGTTTTTGCTTCACACTGTACATTATTCGTTTTTCATGATTATACAACCCAATATAATATATTCATGAATAAAAATCACATGCTTTCATATTTCATCTTTAACAACAAGTGTGGCTGGTTCAATGTGGCTTTATAAATGTCACGGGTTATATGCGGTACTTCGACTGTAAGGTATACCTTCGGAGTACTAGCCAGTGTGTCTATAAATTTATATTGAATTGCACACCATTGTTATAATCAGTATGGTGACTTTACAGTGTATACACTCATACAATGTATTGATTGTTGTCGATACAATATCCTATCTACACATTTGTTTTACTTTGATATCATCGGTATATATGGTGCATTCTCGCATGGTAATCGAACAGACATTGAACTGTGAACAACGTATAGGATATAGATATAAAACATCATAACCATTCCGACATTCTAATAACATTTAATTTCCGAGGAATTTTTACAATCGTGTTAATTTTGTTCATCGAATTTATTGAGCATTTCTAGTAATAAGCAAATTGCTAAGTTCTTTCTCTAAATCATCTATTTCTTTGTTTCTACACAAAATTACCCAACATGGAAACGAGGCTGATGCAGATTATACTGGGGT